ACCTAATGCCGGGGCTTAAGTGGAGAGGAAATGTTTTGAGAATGATGAGGGCAGTGAATGTACAAATATGCTTTACACAATTGATGTATGTATGATTGTGGTAAAAGTTGTATGAGCCCCTAATAAAACGATTGGGGGAAAAAGTGAAGAGAAGATCTTCATATTGGGAGAAAATGTTTGGAATAAACGTTTAGTATCCATAATATATGAAGAACTCTTAAATAGTAACAACACCCAAATAAATAGTTAAAAAGTGTTTAAAGGATTTAAATAAGCGTTTGACCCATTTTTTAATGGCCTGGTCTTTTTTCTTATTGTTGAGCTATAGGAGTTTTTGATCCTAAATCCTTATCAGATTTACTGGGGCTTCAGAAAGTCTGTGGGGAAATTCCATTGTCTTTTAACTGTACCTTTTCATGAACATTGGAAGCCACTTCATTTAATACCCAAATATGTACTCCCTCGCTGTAGATTGCCTTTTCACTTTGTTGATAAAGCTCTTTGATCCACAAAAGTATTTACGTAATTCTGATAAGTTCCTGTCTTGTCTTTTGTTGTTAGTGCTTTAGCATCATATCCATGAATCTCTTGCCGAAAACTAGGTTTTGAAGCCTACCAGTTTTTAATAAGTATAAAATCCAAGTTAGCTCCCTTTACATAAAACAACGGAAGAACACTCTGAGGCTAAAATGTGACTGAAAGCGTTTCTGGAAATGGTGATTTATTTGGGGGTGATTCTATAGTGTGCGTCCTGAGTCAGAGTAGTTTACATATTACAAACGACCTCCCAAAGCTGGCCACCTAGAATGTTCCAACATCAGAATTCTGGAGCGGCTCTAGGGACATGTCCACTGTATTTATTGTCAGTTTATTTACATTTGCTTTCGTATTGGAAGACTAAACACTTTCAATTTGTTCCTTACATTTTTCTGTTTATGTAGCTGTCCTTTATCCATTGAGCTCTTAACTCTTGTATAACCATAATGCAAACCCACTTTGGCATTCGATCCCCATGCATAACATATAGAATTTCTTTTTTTTTTTTCTTAACCATTTTATTAGGGGCTCACTTATATAGAATTTCTAAGACTATATAGGAGCAGACAGCCTCTGCTTTCTCTCAAGGAGCAACTGCTGGGTTTGAACTGATTTTGCAGTTAGCAGTACATTGCCTAACTCAGAGAGTTTCCCGGGATCCTTACCTCTTATACAGGCTCTTGTATTTGTTATAAACAGTAGCTGTTCTTTCACTTCTAGTAAAGAGTGGCACACATCACCAGAGCAGAACACGATAATTTCGTTGGACTGGGCTTGTTCTGGAGAAGTTTCTTTAGCGTGTGTGCCATGTCCATCAGAGCTTGTGGTTGTCACTCCTTGCATTGGTCTGGGTCTGAGACTTGGTTTTTGTTTTTTTTTTTTCTTTTTTAACATTTTATTAGGGGCTCATACAACTGTTATCCCAATCCATACACACATCAATTGTGTAAAGCGCATTTGTACATCGTTTCTCAAAACATTTTCTCTCCATTTAAACCCCCGACATTAGGTCCTCATTTTTCCCCTCCCTCCCCGCTCCCCCCTCCCGCATGAGCCCTTGATAGTTTATAAATGGGTATTTTGAGACTTGGTTTTTATGTGAGGAAAGCTCTGTCCTGTGCCCTAGGGTCAGTGTGGGCTTGCACAGTGCTATGGAAACTCTAGCCTCCTCAGGGTCCTGATTGTGTCTTCTGGTAGACTTTGGTTCTAGGTATGGGCCTTGGCCCTGGCTCTGGCCCACTGAAGATGAGTTGAATTGGAGCTTACTATTATAAGAATGGCAGAAGACTGGCAGAACATTTAGCTGGGAACCCAGGGAGTGTCTGGGGATTTGGGGGGAGGCGGGGATGGGGGTGTTGCTGTAACATGATAGGGGGCTGGAGGAACTCAGTTGTGGCAATTGGGAAATCCAGCTCCTACACTCATTTGCTTAGAGGCATTGGGCACAATCCCCCTCTCTGGACCTCACTTTCCTATCTGTAAAGGAAATGGGGGGTAGATGAGGTGGAATCAAAGGTTCTTTCAGGTCTTGGTTTCGTGATTTCTCCCTGTGTGCCCACACTTCCTGGTGTGTGGAGAAAAGTCAAGAAAGAATCTCACCAAGGAGAATCTCATGATGCAGTGTGCTCAGAGCCAGCCCCCAGGAGCTGGCTTGCGCTATCTCTATTGCCTCTCCTATGGTAGGTCTTGGAGCCCTGACACTTTTCCCCCACCTGCTTCAGTGGGTGCTCCCTGGGTTCTCTGCCTCCTTGCCACTACCTAGTCTTGTGACATTTCTTCCACATAGACTCCTAGAACGCTTTGTGGTCCCTGTTGGCCCTGGGCACACCTCCAGCTCATGCTGTGCCCTTCTATTCTTGGTTGCCTAGGCCTTGCATCCTGCCAGACTCAGCAAGTTTCCAGAGCTGAGCAGATAGAAAGGCTCTGGGGTTGCTGATATGTGAGTGATGGGTGTCTGTTTTGTCTCATTTCAGCTGCGTTGGGGTAGAAGAGGAAGAGGCACCAGATATTGACATATACCATTGCCCGAACTGTGAGAAAACCCACGGGAAGTCAACCCGTAAGTAAGGAGTTCCCACTGCTCCTGGCCGAAGTGGGAAGTACCGTCCACTGACACTTGTGTGTCTGTATGAAAGACAGGAGTGTCAAGACTTGCTTAAGGCCACTTGGCTAGAAACTGGTTGAGCCAGGGCCAGGCCTTAGGGACTAGTCAAGTGCTTCCCGAAGCGTCCTGATTCTCTGTCTGACTCTATGGATCTTATTATTTCCATGCTACTCACTCACATCTTGCTCATGGAGATCAGAGGTTCTTACAAACAAAAATACCAGGCTGTGACTGTGAATCTTTACCTTCATGGGGAAACCAGGAAGGGTCCCTCCTTCCTGGAAGGAGAACTCAATTTGGAATGAAGGCCCCTCAGCAGAGGGCAGTGAGGAAACTCCCCAGTTCTTCCATCTTCAAAGCCCTGGAGATTTGGAGGACTGGTTTCTCTGCCCCTAGCCATCCTACCCTGTATTGTCTGATAGCCCTTACTTGAGGGAGAGCCACTAGTATTAGACCCCGACTGACTATCAGGCACCTGGAGGAGCCCCTTCTAGTTCTCATCTTGGATCCCAATCTCAGTTTTGTACAGGATGAGCCCATTTCCAGATCCCTCAGGGCAAGTCCAAGAAGGCGTATCTGCCCCTGGCGGTGCCCATCCCTCACCAGGACTACTCTGTGTCTACTCAGGACAGAGCAACAGGCTAGATATGGGGGACAGAGACCACAGAAAAAGAAGTCATTCCTTCCCTTTGCAGAGCACACAACCCTGTGTGGGGGTGTGCATGTATGTGCCCATCTGTGCATGCATATACATGTATGCATGTATATGGCACATTTGTGTCCATGTGTGGTGTATGTGTATGCATGCTTAAATATATGTATAGGGAGGTCTATTATATGGAGTATGCTGTGGGAGGTATCACTAACAGAATATCCTTAAGGAATAGGGTTGGATGGGCAGGGTGCTGGAGCTGGGCCCAGAGGACATTTGGAAGTGTGCTTAGGGGTACAGTGGGTGCCAGGGTATGGGCAAGAGAGAATGTGTTTAAGGTCCAGAAAGAGTGCTAATTGGAGAGGGTGGGGAGAAAGAAGGAATAAACCAGGTATTCTTAGCTCTGTGAACTGTGGGTCTAGGGGCAGTAGCGCTCAGTTATGGCGGTGATAAGACTCACTGGCCTTGAAGATGAAGCTAAGGGTGAAGCGATAGCAGCAGTCAGCTCAGTTAGGAGAATGGTGACAGTCTAGGTTATGAGCAGCGACTCTAGTACCTTGGCTAGAGATCTTTTCAAGAGGTGGCTCTATGGAGATTTCAACAGTCTAGGTGCCTGAATGGGAGGGGTCCTTGGAGACTTCCAGATTCTGGGTCAGTCGTATTAGACAGTGGTACTATGAGCTGAGTTCAGAAAGGTGGTGAGAGGATGGGGATAAGAGAATATCCTTAGAGATGGAGGGCAGGTGATAGAGCTAGAGACGTGCTAGGTGGTAGGGATTTCATCTCCAGAAGGACCTCAAGTTTGCCTGTGAGGAGGTTCTGATCCTTGTTGTATCCATAGGCACCAAGCCCTGACTTTGTGGGTCTGCATTCTGACTGCCTGGTTCTCCAGAGGGAGGGTATGGCGACTGACCCCTTCTCTCTACAGTGAAAAAGAAGCGGAGCTGGCACAAACATGAGCAGGGACCAATGCCTGATGTCAAGCCTGTGCAGAATGGGAGCCAGCTCTTCATAAAGGAACTGCGGAGCCGGACCTTCCCTAGGTGGGCAGCCTGGCATGGGGAGGGCCCAAAAGGCCACTGCTTGTCCACCCAGAGGGCCCATGGCTGAAGAGGGATCCAGGGCTCTAGGAGAGCCTGCCTGAGGCAAGCAGAGGGCAGAGGAGGTGGGAACCTGTATCTTCCAGAGGCAGCATCATATTCCCACTGTTGATATTGCCACTTCTTATAAGAGACCCCCCTTTACAACACTTCCTCTGGGAAGAATATTATTGGAGAGAGTTTATCCTTGGGCAGAGAAATAGGAAAAAGGGACTTCATTGTCCTGTCCAGTTGGCCTCTCCCACTGAATCTTTTGTTGAGCAACTGCTATCTCAGACTACCCCCTCAACATAGCCCATTGGATATGAAACTGCAAGTTTAGCTTTAAGTCCCTCCAATGAATTGGGTTAAGGAACCCTGGTGATATAGTGCGTTAAGTGGTAGACTGCTAACCATCAAGTCAGTGGTTCATACTTACCAGCCACTTCAAAGGAGAACGAAGAAGCTGCTTCCTCCCTTAAAGGAACTGCAAGGAGCAGTTCTCCTCTATTCTATAGGGTCGCTGTGAGTTGGAGTCAACTCCATGGTAGTGAGTTTGATCTTGAATTGGATTATTTTGCATAATCTAGATACTAGTCACTTATCAGATATTTTCTTCCATGCTGTGGGTTATCTTTCTACCCTTCTTGATAGTGCCCTTCAAAACACAAGTTTTTAATTTTGATGCAGTCCATGTTTTTCTTGGCTGCTTGTACTTTTGGTGTCAGATCTAAGAATCCATTGCCAAATCTGAACTCATGAAGATTTACCCCCATCTTTTCTTCTAAGGATTTTATGCTTTTACCTTCTACATTTAAGTCTTTGATCCATTTTGAGTTAATTTTCACGTGTGATATGAGTGTAGGAATCAGGTTCTATTCTATTGCATATGGAGATCCAGTTGTTCCTACATCATATGTTGAAGAGGCTATTCTTGCTCCATTGAATTGAATTGCCACTCTTGTTTAAAATAAGTTGACTGTAAATGTCAGAGTTTATTTCTGTAATCTCAATTCTATTCTCAATTAGAACTGTTAATCAATAGGTTTTTTTTCTTGTACCAGTATCGCACAGTCTTGATTACTGAAGCTTTGTAGTGAGTTTGAAATTGACAAATGTGATTCCTCCTACTTTGTTCTTCTTTTTCTAAGAAGTCATATTTCAATTATGAAGAATGAAGAGAAAATTCTATTTTCTCTTTTAATAACACTTCCCCATTCTATCTTTCAAATATTTCATCTAATTTGCCATTGTTTTAACTTGCTACCATTTAATAAACTATTCAGTTTTGCTTCAATCATGAATTATTCACTTGTAGAATTTCTGAATTCTTTTTCAGTGTTGCCTGTTCTCTTTTCATACTGCCTTGTCCTTTGCCTAAATCCTCCAGTTATCTCTGAATGTGTTTAATACCCTTGGTTTTAAAATTCTATTTACATTGTTCTCTTATCCTCAGCTCTTAGAATTAACTCTCCCCACACCTGATGTCTGCTCAGAGCCTCCTTTATGGTGGATCACTTGCTTATGTGCGAAGTTGTTTTTCAGAGGGATTATTTTCCATGAGAGCGGATAAAGCCCTGGGATAGTGAGGTGTTCCCACCCGAAAAACAAAACTCACTGTCTTTGAACCAGTGCGACTCCTAGCAACCCTAGGACAGGGGAGAACTTCCCCCTGTAGTTTCTAAGACGGGAACTCTTTACAGGAGTTCCTACAGTGTGGTTTTTGCTGGGTTTCACAGCTCCAGATCCAATTTTGGCTTCCCGATTCATGCGTCTAGTGTGAATTTGGAACTCTCGCCAGTAATATAAGAGTCCATGGATCTGATTAATCAGGGTGATTTTTTTACCAGTATCCCCAGTACATGGAAAACTTCCTGTGGCTTCCCTATTTGACAGTGCATTATCTTAATGCTCTTTGAGCATTTCAGAAAAGAGCTGGCTACACATAGTCTTTCTTCCTTCTCACCTTTAATCCACCCTTTCTGGCTTATCCTTACGACCATGTTGTCAAACACAGCAAACACTAATTCTCGTCCTTTATTATTTATTTATTTATGTTGGTGAAAATATATGTAACAAATTAAGCACCGTTTCAACCATCTCTACATGAACAATTCCGTGATATTGGTTACATTCTGTAAGTTGTGCCACCTTTCCCAAATAGTTTTTCATCATCAAGAATGCAAACTCATTGCCCCCTTAAGCGTCTCATCTTTCTTCTTAAGTTGCTTTTGTCAATTTGATCACATATAGATAATTCTTTAAAAGTAAATAAGCTTAGTGCAGGTTAAGTTAAAACTATTATTTGGTTCACCAGTGACTTCCAGCGATAGCTTTGGTTCCCGGTTTAGAGATTTCCTCAAGGCAATAGTTTCAGGGGTCATCCAGCTTCAATGGCTCCCGAAGTCTAGAGTCCATGCAAATTTCATATTCTGTTCCCATTTTTCTACTTTTAATTAGGGGTTTTCTGTAGAATTATTGATCCTCAGGGTTCATTGTTGGTAACCAGGCACCATCCTTTTCTTCTGGTCTCATGGCAAAGGAGGTAGTTGTTTATGGAGATCATTGAACACATATTCAACCCTTGACAGAATTTGACTGCAACCTGTCCATCCTTGGAGTCCTCTTTTCTTTTGTCCTTCTCTTATTCTGAGTCCTCTTTTCTTGGAGGTGATGATACCAGGTTCTCCTGGTTTTCCTCTCATCTGGCTTTTTCTCCCGACAATTCTCCCTGATCTCTTGTTGTAGACTCTGGTCTTGTCCCCCACAATCAGACTTCATATCCACCTCCCTTGTCTCACACACCATCCATTTACTTAGCTGCTCTTTTACTAGTCTATCGTTCTTCTATGCTCCTCACCTGTATATTCCAATAGAGAACCCGGGGTACATCTCTGACCAAATATGTCCCAAGCAAAGCTCTTAATCTGCCTTACTCCTCTACTGTTCCTCACTCCTGTCTCTCCTCCTGCCCTCTATAAATGACTGTTACCCTCTGTCTCTTACACCAAATGCTTGGGTGTCAACTTTGCCTCTGCCTGTTCTCTTGTTCCTGCTGGATCTGTTGCCTTACATAACATGATTCTTCTTTTCCCTCTCCTAGTACGACCTCCAGCATGGCTGAGCCACCTCCCCAATGGACTACTTGGTCCACGCTAGGCCGGCTATGATTTTTTCTCCATGCAACATTAGATATAACCTCTTAACATGCATGTCAGGTTGCTTGGTGCCTGCTTAACCTGCTCCAAAGCTTCTCCTTACTCTTTTTCTCTACTCTCTTACACCCTGGCTCCCTCTAGTTCCTCAAACATGCCCCTATCTCTCCCACTTCACTGGATTTTCCTGCTGCCAAGAGCACTTTTTCCCCCTCTAGTTCCTGCCCTTCTTCCTCCGGGCTTAGTTTTAGCTGGACCTCCTTGGAAGTGCCCTGAATTACCCAACTTACATGGTTCTCTGCCCATTGCATCCTACTGTTTTGCCGATGGCACTGGTCATAAGTACTCAGCACCTAGTAGGTAATGAACACAGCCCCTCTATGTTCCCTACCCCAGAATGGTTTCTGAAAAGGTCTGGTACCCTGTGATATCCTTTCCATGTGGGTCTCTCTTACCTGTCCTGTTCCCTGGCAGTAGCAAGCACCATGACT